CTATGGTTTTGTGCGCTTCGACCGCAATTCGCAAATCTTCGCGAGAGCCTGCGGGGCCAATATTATTTTGTTAAATATGCCATAATAAATAATAATAATATTATAATTTATAATAACGCCGCACTATATATTATTTGTATAATGTATATCAACTATAAAAAAAAAAATTGTTTATTAATGTAGGTAAATTTATTATTTTATATACGCTGACGGTCGACGGAGAGCTGCGCGAGTTCCTAATACGCAACAAGTGTACCTATATTATTATTATAATTATTTATATCATCATCATCGTCAGGTTTTTACCCGAGAGGGACATTCGCGTTTTAATTTTTATAAAATGAAAATGTCTAACGAATATAGGTACGGGTCGCAAATGTATATCATAAAATTATAACTAGTATAATAGGTACGCATATTTATTATATTATAACGAGTTTTATACTTTTTACGTATTATAAGACAATACACACTGCACACTGAATTAATGTACTATTACGGTGTGATCATAATTAATATTATAATATTATTCGCTCGTTACGACATGACAGCATGGTGTTCGTATAGATAATACATATTATAAATTATAATACAATTTAGTGAATTTTTTTAACAATCGTCCGTCGTATAATTTTATAATTACAATTTTTATAGCCTTTAGGATTTATTTCAAATTTGTGTATTTTGAAACGAAGCAAAGGCGATTTAAAATACATTTCACTGTTTCAGAAGTTTTTATGCACCTATACCTTTTAAATATGAGATTGGAAAAGAACTCGCAACACGGTACATTATTCGACAAATATAATTATTTTACTATATTTTTAGCTATATATTCTGAAAAAAAATGTCGTCGGAGAAAATTTATAAAATATTATTTAACTTTAATATTTTTTTATTTTTAAGCATTTAAGATTTTAATAAGTTTTCAGATGGTAGAGATAGATAAAAAAAATTGTGGTGTTCAACTATTGTCCTAGTCAAATTAATAAAATTACTTAAAAAGTTACTTGCAGATATATAATATTATATTTAGTTGGTGAAGTATAATCCGTAGATTTTTTTTACAATACGTACTTGAGTGCTAAGTTTATACATAAAGGTAATTTTAGTAAAAACTTATTTATTGGTGATACTCCGCGTAACTTGAAAGGACTAAGTTTTAATTAGTCAAAACTCAAAAGTTATACGTCATAATAAACGATGAAATGACAAATTATTTTTTAATAACTTTATAAATCGTAGTTTTCAGAAAAATATTTTGTTTCAGATGAAATCAAAAGATTATTATATAATATCATAATTTGAAAAGTAAAAATCATAACGATAAAAATGTTGTGTTTTTAATTTAATAATTGTGATCACTACCATATAATATTATAATACACAACCAACCAATTTTAAATTTGATTTATAAAAAACAAAACATTCGCGGAGAAGTTGTATGGGAATCATCATATATATTATCATTTAAACACAAAACTCTTTGCGTACCTATTAATTTGTGAAAAAAAAAGTATGTGTGTTACCAGTACGCGCGCGGGAAGTTAAACTTCTTTTGAATGGTACACGTGAGTGAGTGAAAAAGAAAGAAAATAGACCATAGACATATATATTGAGTAATATCAAATTATGTCATATCATTATACAATTGAACCATCAGAGTATTATATACTATTTGAAAAATATAGGTGCGTTGGTCATTGTAAATGTGTCAAATATTAACTAAATATTAATTATTATTATTATTATTATTTATTAAATACTTATAGTATAGTCATATAATATGATGAAATTCATCGAGTTATATTTTGAATATACATAATTTGACTCACCTAAAAATAGTATATTATATTATATTATATTATATTATCGCGCACTCTGGAATATTTATTATATATGCGTTTTCGCTTTTATCAACTTGACTACGGAATATTGTTTATACCATGATAAAATAACATGGTATGCTGGCAACTTTATGATACGCATACCCCTTACCCCGCCGACCATCATACAGAGCTGTATCCAGTTCGCCGCTTTTCATTGGTTTTCATGATCAATATATATACATAGTGCATTATGAGGAGAACTGGATACAATGAAATGCGCAAACTCCGACGATATTCAGTTCGTTGCCATCATACCATGTTATTTTATCATGGTTTATACGTTTATACTGGTTTGTTTATAATATCATATGATATGTTTCCAAAAAGATTACAAAATATTGAAACGGAAAATATCAAAAACTTTATAAACAAAACATCGTACCGTTTTCGTGACGCGCGAGCGTCCGTGACGCCCGAGCGTCCGTGACGCCCGAGCGTCACTCTCTTTTTTTTCAATACCCCTCACATAAGAAGTTTAACTTCAAAAAAAAACAATAATTTAAAATTGAACTTACTGAATTTAAATGTCGCCGAGCGCAATGACGTTCAATTTGTGACAATATTATTAAGATTTAGTTTTATTATATAATATCCTTACATGCACGTACGCTGACGAGACCTTCTGCACTACGAATGTCTACGATCGCGTAAAATTCATGGCATTTGAATAGATGTTATCCACGCTGAACATACTTATCGTGTTGTTCAAACAACAAAATATGTAAAACCCTCTGGGTGCCGTCGGGGGGATCGCCATCGACCATATACGAAACGATTGACCATAATACTATTATGAATATTATTAAATATGTTACTCGCAAAGGGGTGGACGGCGAAATGGTTTTGTTTCACGCATGACTATATAATATGAAGAACGCGAAACGACGCGAATATTACGTGTTAAAAATATATACATAGGTAATAATATTATAATTTATAATCTACATAACGTGGCCTGATATAAATTTCTTAAGCGCGGAGGACTAATTATTATATTTATATTTTCTAAAATAAAACATTTATTTTTAATATAATAACATAATGTCATATTTTATTGAATAAAAAAATACCTTAATGGAATTTATATAATATAATGAATCATTAATGATTAATACTAAAAACCCTGGTAGAAATTGATGCATTTTTTGCGTCTAATACTGCTGTCGTTTTTTTCTTCACATATTTTTATAAGAACATATTTAAAAAAACGGGCATCCCGAAAGCCTGGTCACCCCAAAATAATATATCACTCCTCAAAAACTATAAAACGAACAAACTTAAAGTTTGGAATGGTGGTGCAGGTTGCTCCAACGATCTCTATGTGCAATAAGGAAGGACCTTCCGACTTCAATTTTACTATAGAAATATTTTCAAATAAGTTGCGAGGAAGGCGAAAAGGTGTTGTTTTGAGTATGACGTATACCTAAAATTTAGGTCCTAAATCGTATATATATATATGTATGAAGAGCACGAAACTAATCAAATAATACGAGTTAAAACTATAATATACATATTGATATTGTTATAATATATTATATATACTTTAATACAATCGGCTGTTTGATTATCGTTACATATTGTTTGGGTCGTTAAACCGTATGTTATTATCTTATGCGGTCACACACGACAAACTGGCCACTATGTATACACACACTGAAATGATACAATAATATATAACTCACCTACGTATAACCGGATTCCGGACGAGCTTAATATCGAGTGATACCTACATGAAAATATTACAATGATATAATAATACAGTATTGTCTGTATGTGTCTTATTAGCTGCGACAGTCGAATATTATGCAGTGTGCAATGCGAAAGACGCGTGCGAGGCTACCAAATATGGGTGCGACGACGACAAATTTTCCGGTGGAATGACAACAATATTTAATGGATAGGTATATATATGAAACACCCGTGACCGAAAATCAGAGATTTATAATATATTATTATATTATGCACCCGCGTTTGACCGAATTTTTTAAGAAGTCAGTGAAAACAGTAACTTTTTGCGGGGAAATATTTTCATAATATTATTTTATTTTATCATTTCGTGAGATATCTCTCTCTCGTGGAAGAAGCCTTGCCTGCAGACGCTGAGGATACCGTTATCGTCGTCGTTGTCGAAGGTTTCCGTCGTCTTTTGAACCGCAAATGCTTCCGATTGACCGTGAAAACAGGGCAGGTACACTGTATATTTCCCATATTCCTCAGTATTCCTATACATATTTTTAAATTCTGTTGGAAGTACATTTAACTAGACTATTGGATCATCGATCTTCCGCAGACAGAATTCTAAAATATGTATATTATACTGAGTAATGAGCATAGGTAACCGAACTGCACCTGTCCCGCCTGAAGAACGACTACCACTAGGTGGAAACCTACCATGGCCCTTATGGGAAATGATAAATAGGCTAAGAGCCAGAGTAGCTAAGACAAGAGTCAACATGGTGAAATGGAGATACCATAAGAAGAACCTGACAAATGTGAATGCGGCGAGAGATAATCCGATGGACACCTAATAAAATGCGCCCTTGCCCTGCCAGGATGCACAACTCATGACTTGGCGCTTGCTAATGAAAATTCTTTATCAATATCCGCAAAATATTTAGCAAATTTATATTTTACTTTTTAAGACTATCTATAGTGTATATTTATATATTTTATATTCATATCTTTTATTTAAATTTTTTTATTTTTAATGTAATTAATATTTATTAAGTCCAGCACCGGACACGATAAGAAGAAGAAGAAGACTGAGGTATGGAGTGTACCCAATTTTCGCGAGCACCGGCTATAATATTATCTATACAGTATGTTCTATAAAAATGACTGCATTTGTTATTAGTGCATAGGTACTAGGTAATTTCGGAAACCACAAAACCTCGTCGGAGACATATAATATGTCCCCTCATATAAGAGGTTCGTTTTACTCTCCGTTGAGTACTTCCAAAAATTTTAATTTTTAAAAATTCTCTACGGACAGTGTACAAAATTGGCCAGGTCAGCTGTATACAGTATAATATAATAATATATTATTATAAATTACGATTTACGAACGGTGGACGACGCGAGCGGTAAAGTCGTTCTATATATTATACTGACCAAGAGGGTTAGGAGGACGGCGACGGTGGCGAAGAGCGCAGTGCCGCGCATATCTCGTCTCTTCACGGTGTCGTCGCGACGTGCCGGCTGCAGCTGTGGTCCGGGCGTCTGCGCATGGTCGGACGTCGCGGGTTACACTGGCCGCGAAGAGTCCGGCGCGCGCGACGACGACGGCTACGGCGGCGGTGGTGGTGGCCGTGCGCGCGCGCGCGATAAGTACGCGCCGCGCCGGACCGCCGACGGATGGCCGCGGGGCGAGAAAACGGGAAAAAATCAGCAACGAAAACAAAAACGGGACGTTATCGCGATGACGCCGCACGGTGATGGGTGGTGGCGGCGATCGTGTCGGCGGCGACCGGAGGCGATGGTAATAGACCGAGACCTTGGTGAGCGGGATACGGTAGTGGGCGGCGCGGGGGTGAGACTTAGCCGCCTAGCGTAATATTATTATTATTGGTGAAAAAAAAAATATTCATAAAAAAACGCGTTTTACATATTATACTATTAGATTTATCGTGATGTGTAAGAGTTTTGTGTTTATGCAGAGACGGAATTCCGCGGTCTGGCGCCTCGGCGATCGTATAATATTTGTATGATATATTTTACGCAAACACAACTGTCACGGACACACCACAATAATACTGTAACGCCAGCATGTCATTTTTGATATTTTTATAAATCACCGCCGCGGGCCGTCTTCCGCGCGGTATACCAACGAAATGTAAATATAGTGTTATCCGCGGTACCAGTGTACCGTATCGGTATATATACAGTTCTGCTACTGATGCGCTTTAATCGTACATGCATACATACGTGCCTGGTACAACTACCGCGGGTCACTCGACGCCTCCCGCGGCGACTGGGTTTTCCGGCTGCGACAGCGATCTCGGTGACATCTGCATCGACACGTCCGATCGCGTTATTCTCCTCCTCCTCCTCCTCCTCCTCCACAACCACAACCACCTCCACCACTACCTCCTCGACCTCACTCGGAGTATCTGTTACGTGTCCGTATGCATATTTTATTAACCGTTGCTTCGGCGGTGGCGTTGGCCGTCGGCGAATTCCGATCTTATTACAATAATAATATTATATATAACTGGCCGCGGCCGTTTGGAGACATTGCTGCCGCAGCCGAGATACGCGCCGACCGCATTATAAGCGTGCCTACATAAATATTATTTTCTATCGAATCTTGACCTCTTGAGAGGAATTTTTTTTTTCGTTTCGAAAATATTTACCTACTCGACGACAACGACCTTCGAGCGGTACACTTATTTTTTACACTTACTTATAATATTATATTATAATACATACCTATTATACAGCTGCTGTGACGTAAGCATATAATATTATAGAGTAGTAAAATAACACAAATACACAATACGTCATATACGTTATAATACAAAGCACATAATATAACGTTAAGTCCAAAATGTATATTATACAATAGTTTATAGTTGAGTAGATGCCTTTCTTTTTCACGATTTTACTTGATAAAAAATTCGTACTCTAATAAACCCCAAGTATATAAAAAAAAAAGTAGAGTATTGAATTTACTATATTATATCCTCCACACTTAGCGAAAAGCCCTCGGGCTGCGACGCCGTGCTAAAACCGATACGTCCTGCCTTGTAAACTCTCAGCTGCAGCGACGTCGTTATTGGTTCGTTTTGTTCGTTAAAAGTCGTTTGGTGTTTGCGCCACGTCGTTGTAATAATAGGTAGGTACCAATGCGTTTTATCGAGCGAATTTTTCAATTTTTTTTCCGCTGCAATCAACACAACGATCCGCGTCCGGATCGTATGTATAATTATTATTATCTTCGTCGAGTGCGGATCTGTCAGATCCGGGGAACGGCTACTTATAACGACAGCGATACAATTATTATAATGTACTAAAAATGAATAGGAAAAAAAAACGTTTAAAATTGTTTTTTCAAACTGGATAATAATAATAATACCGCGTGTACACGCTACACGCATATACATGTATAGTAATATTATAATGTAGGTAGGTACATATATAAATAGTATTGGAGAATATTATGTACCTTCCTACTTACTACACGCGAATTAAACCCTACGTAGGTAGATATCACTTAAACCTAAAAATACGCTCTAAGCTACACCATAATATTATAATAGTATAGGTATGAGCATATACGAAAACAGCAGAATTGTCGACCGTTATGGTACTTACGAGACGAGAGCAAATAGTATTTAACGTCATATTATATAATATATAATTGTATTCGCCAAATACAATTACATTATAATTGACGTTAAAATCGTCTGTGGTGTGGTGGATACATATTATTCTATAGATAAAGATCCCGACGTTTTTGTGCCTATATAATATTTAGTAATATAATATTACGGCAACACGAAAACTGTCGGGTGTTCTACGTCGGAAAACGTTTAAATTTGTACGATACAAACGAGATCGATACACAGATATAGCTGATATTATAGAGTCGATAAAATTTCGAAATCGCATAAGAATTTTATACGTGACTATGTTTATCAAAAAATTGATCTCATTATGCATGTTATAATATTATTATAATACGAGTAAACATTATATATATGTATAACATCGTAATATTCGCTATGTTAATATTTACGTTATACGTTATTATTCAGTATACCCTAGGACTTATCGAAGGTCGTTTAACTCGTTGAAGAAAGAATTTTTTTTTTTTTTTAGTCGGTATATAATAATTAAATTTCTATATTCTCACTATAATTTATATACGTATATTACGGCAGAGTTGCAGAATATTGCTCGGGATTATAATGATTTTTTCTCGTCGTTATTCGCGTGAACATAATTTGTTAGAAGAAAAAAAACCATCTCCTCGGTCACTATTCAGACGAAAAAATTACACAGGGTTTGTATAATTGTTCCATCTTACGAGTTATATTTATCTGCACATATCCTCAGGCTCTACATATACATATATACAGAGTTTTTGCACGCCAACGTGTATAATTTTTATGTCCATTACATGTATAATATTATATGATTGTGACCAATCGATTTATAATGTTTTATAGTAACGTATCCAAATAATATCTTTTATAATCATCATAATACATCCATTAAAATCTATTCGGTTATAGGTTGTCGGTATATTATCGGTTATTGGTTATTACTATTATGTTAGGTTTTACGTAAAAAAAAATTGATAGAATAATACGAGCTGTCGCATCGTTTATTATGGTTGAAAACGTATTACCCCGCAATTTTGTTTAATAACTATGCACATTTTAGACTTGAATGCAAACCATCACAGGTACGATTAAACATTTGGCGTGGGAATATTATATATTATAATATGCATTATACGGACTTGTGGTGTCTTAAAAAGTGTAAACGACCCAAGCTATAAGTATAGCTAACGACGATGTAATATACGACTGCGTTGGAAATAAACGAAAATTTTCGAGACCATAATTTATTATATATAATACGTAGGGAGGGTGCTTATGAGTTACTTTGATACTGCATCGAGGCGTATATTATGCACACACACCCTTTGGGATTTGGGCCCTTCGACCCTCGCACGCTCCCCATATATTATAACCACACCGATTTATAACTAATTTTCAACGAGGTTTGTGTTTCGCATAACACTCACGTATATTATATATTTTATTTTTTATCGACAACAGTATAAAAGCGTTTATATAAATATAAATACACGCGCACGCTCTATCAAATACTATCATACATAATATATAGCAGAATATAGTATACAAATATTCACATAGATTTTGATAGACGAATATCGGAATAATCACGCATTCTATATATCACTAACACCCTAAAGGCCTAAACTACCTATATCAATTAAATCTAACCACTTGCGTATCTATATAGTATACTATTGAATATCGATTTATTTATTTATTGAACTTGAGCATCGGCAATGATAGCATATTTAGGGGGGATTACAAGTGGTTGGGGAGTACAAGTGTATATGTGGGGCGAGGATTCGTCACTAAAATCCCCGGTGGTCACCCATCCGGGAGCTAGTCATGCCGGACAATGCTTGACCTCAGTACACATTAATTACTGCAACCAACCACACAAGGCCCCAAATATATAAATTAAATATATAACTATATAAGTACTGTTATATATATATAAAAATGAATTTTTGTCTGTCTGTCTGGCTGTGTGTCCTATATATGCATTTCTAAACGGCTGGACCGATGTTGATGAAATTTGGTACAGAGATAGATTAGACCTCTGGGCAGAAGATAGTCTAATTTAAAAAGGGAGAGGACCAACTTCGGAAGGGGCTCAAACAGAGATTTTGAGATTTCCGATGGAAATTTTTGTTTAAAAACCCTTACGTGGGTTATATTATAAAATATAAACTATTATTATATTCATATAGATTGGCATTTTTAATTGGCAACGAAGTGCGCGGGATCGGCTACTAGTATTATATACTATTTATTATAAATTAAATATATAGGTATAGTAATACCTATGTACTCCTCTGGCGCCGTATATGATACTATTTAATATCAATTAAACATTTTCTTGGAGCTTTCGGTGACTTATCTGCAAATGACTGGATGGGGGGGGGGTCGTCTACAGATCGCCGAAGCACTGTTGAAAAGCATTCCCCGCATGCGCCTGCAGCGAATTTCGCCCACACGTCCACGCGTGGAATGTGCGTAAATCTATTTCACGCCCGATAATAGATACATGTTTATTATATCATATACTATATACGGAGTGTAACGGGAAGACCCGGCAGATGAAATAACTTTTGTTCTAATAAATATTTTTAATTTTTTTTATATATATATGAATTTATAGTCACTCGCTACATACGTATAATATAAGAAAAAATATTTTTATTTTAAGTACTGAAAATAAATATTTTAAATTTGATTTAAATGTTTTGGAAAAATTAAAAAAAGCCAATTATTCTGATATCCGAATATAAGAATAATTTTGACGGTAAAAAGTAAAAACATTTATCCAAGTCAAGAAGTTTTAAGAAGTAGTCAATTTTTTAGAATTTTTTT